GTCATTGGACGGCTCTTTTTCTTTCTTATACGAAAAAACTTAATGGCAATCTCACTGATGGATAAACAGTTTTGTTCAAGGTGTCTATAGTTTAAAAGTTTCAGGTAGATAAATTACAATAACAAGCTAATAATATGACTGAGTTCTCCAATAAATGCTAAACAAGAAAATAACAGTTAAATAAACACAATAAAAAAAAACGGTACAGAAATAAATAATAAAACTTTCTTCCTTCTTTGTTCATCGTCTACGGTTTTATCTAGTGATGAATGTCATTTAGTTAAAGATACGGAAACATAATTACATATTTTCTTATAATGCACCTAGTTCAGTTTGATGGCTTTGGAAATACTGTCAAAAATACACAATTTTTAATGCTTGTAAACAAGATTGTCGTGGGGGTTACCAAAAAATTAAATTAGTTCTCAGTAATCATATTCTGATGTAAATGCTAATAAAATAGAATACTGTGTTCTTTGGAATACTATGTTTCTTTAATTCAAATACAATTAACAAATGTAAAGAAAAAAAATAGTTAATGAATCAGAACAAACTAGAGTTTAAATTAAAGATCTGACATAATAAACCAACAAATAGTCGTACGGATCGTCACTTTTGAATTGAGCTTTATAGAGCTAAAATCTATGTACATAACAATTAGGCCTTTAAAAAGCCTTCAAAAAATAATATGGTGAAATATCGAATGTTCAAAGAATTTGGCAAAATTTAAAAGTACATTGTATCAAAAATGTTCCATAGTAATTTTGATTGAATGCGTATATATTTATATTTCACCGTATCATTTTCACATTTATTCAAATCGGGATTCAAAGGTGATTAAAACATTATGGACAGGTACCAGTTCTCATTATATTGTTAAAATAAATGCCGTTCTTATAGCTAACTAGAGTATAACGAATTTGTTTAAACAAGATAGAAATGTTTATAAATAGATAAAACGTTCAACAATACATGTGTTTATCTGTTTTAGGAAGCTCTATTTCGATTATGTATCTATTATACTACGTATAAAATTGAACCTGCTGTTAACTTATTTGAACAACTACATTTTCCGATTAAACTTTGGAGTTTTAACATGAGAATACAATCAAAATTGTTCAAATATGTATATGCATGTTTAAAAAAAATATACACAGTAGGTTTATGTATAGAAAGAGTGACTACAGATGTGGGCAATCTGAATATGTGATAATTTTTATTTTGTTACTGTAATTTCTTGAATATTGAGCAAACAGAAATTGCATATCTCCTTGAAATTCGATATTGACATATTTGTTCTTATAAAACTACTAACAATAACAATGAAATGTTTATGACAGTGATATTTCAATTGATAAGCTAAATGTTCAAAGTATATTATTGCTACCATGATATGTTTGATGACCTCTAAAACTTTCCTTGAATCCCGATTTATTTGTAATCCTGAGGACGCAGGATTTTCAAAAAATTAACAATTCCTACGAGACCTAAGAATAGAATAATGTAGTAATCACAATGTTGTAGCAAAATGACCTCGGTCAAGTCTACAACAAAATTAACAACAATAATTTACAGACCTTGCGGGTCAATTTAAAATAGGCATGAGCATTGTAAGGGTAAGGTAAAAAGCTAGAAATTTCAATTACTTTTTATTCAGATTTCTTCAAATTCAAACTCCTAGCAGGTAAGTCGATGTTTTGAATTTTATTTAGCAGATGTGAAAATTTAAAAATGTGAACTTAGCAACAAGAAATTGTTTTAAACATTACATTTCAATACATACCGGCGTTGGTTTTGTCAAAATAATAATTAGTCGTTTGAGATGTATCTTCAATATATCCAGGATTGCGTAGATGTGTTTTATTGTAAATTTTTTTATTATATTATCACGACTTATACTATATACCGATATAGTATTGAATGGTTCCTTACGGGATGTTCCTAAATTACAGTTCAGCAAAAAGTCTTTGTTTTAATAAATATAGGAATTTGTAACCGAACAAAAATGCTGGAGCTGATTTGTGGGAGTTTGTATTACTTCAACTATAAAATATGATTATAAGTCAACTTAAAGTAGGCAACCAACTCTACGGTTGTAGTGGTTTTCTTTTGGACTAATTATAGGTTATATGAACAAATTTCTTAATTTTTTCAGTTACAATCAATAAAATTTAAATTAAGAAACTTGAAAAGTGAACTGTCAATCGAGGAACTGTAATAACAATTTTTATATCTAATAGTGTACAATATTTTCCTATAGTACTGTATAGTTTATAGTAAAATTTCTTTGAGACGTGCAGTTTATATATAATACGCGCCCTTAAATTTAAATATACTAAAATGACGTTATTTCTTAAAGAAATTGGTCATAGGTTAATAAGAAATCTTTATTATCGACAAATATATAAAGTATTGCGAGAAAATATTGTATAGATTTTCATTTATACAATTTAAAATGTTTTTTATATAGCTTTATATACGAGTTCTATATACAAATATCGCATTTGTTTTGTTTTAATTTAAAACACTCTTCTTTCGAGATATGGCCGTATTTTGCACTATTATTCAAAATCTATTAGATTTAAGAAGCTGTTTCAAGCCCTACTTGAAAAAGATTAATATATAACAGGACACCCAAATCATCAGTTACCTTTCAATGTAACAACTAGTACTATGTACAAAATTTTGACAGTACAGCATTTTTCAGGTTGACAAGACTGTGACAAAAACAATTATTTTTGACTTGGAGGAATAACAGACTGAAATTCTGTCGTGAGATTATCGTTTTAGATCACATCTAACTTTCAATTTAATCTCTTTTTGAAAGTAAAAAATACTCTTGATGGTCAATGGTAATGGACATACCAAGCTGTGATGGGTACTTTAAAAAGGCATGTAGTGTGATGCATTCACACTGTATTTATATTTTTAATATACTACTATTTTTCTTAGATTAATGCTGAAAGATTACATTATTTAACAAATAACCTTTTGAATATATCATTAGTTCCCTGGTAACAAGAAATATTTCCTTAGAGAACTCTTAGGAATATTTATGGGATTTAGGAACGACATAATTTAACTGACTTTTGTAACTAATTAGAACACATCCCCTTATATGGCTCTAGGCATCTGACTTATTTCAATAAGAAAATTAACGATTTCGTTGTTCATATGATGCTGCTCTCATATTTTATTAAAACACTTTTTTAAATAAATTAGTTGAAAATATGTATCTAAGTACATATTATCGTCTACAAAAATGCATCAAATGCATCATCCTAATATGGCGTGTCCCGACGAAAAAAAACTTTTTGTAAATTTACAAAAAAATATTTCTCTTGCCCTGCGCAGTTTTTGAACTGTTAAAAATGTCAGTATTTTCTTGATTTTATGTAGAGGGTGTAATTAAAAGTATAGTACCTAAAATTGTTGAAATATTGTAACTAGGGTCGATTACAGAAGTCATTGGATATATTACACAAAACATTGCCTTGTACCTATTAGCAGAGAGCAACCTACTAATCTGTAGTAATACTATGAAAGTATAACAAGCGTCGCACTAGTAGAAGTAAACTTTTTAACTAATGATATTGAAATACAACCCCCAGTAAATAAATAAATCCGTTCATCATAAGAATTACCAGTAAGTACAATGCAATACTTTTATAACTTACGAAGCCGTACTGGGGTCTAGTCTAAATTTTTTTTTAAATTCAGACTTTAAATTCTGAATTCTGAATTTAAATTGTGAATCCAGAATTTAAACTTTGAATTCAGACTTTCAACTCTGATTTCAGACTTCAGTCTTTTAAATTATGGCCGAAAAATATATATTTTTTTAATTTTAAGCTAATTCAGTGTGCTTATCTGTTGAAGAATATTTATAATAATTTTTTAGTCGTATCTTGACCGAACCTACTCCCCAGTTAATTTTTGTACACTTACACTGTGACACCCTGTATATGGGCGGTATATAATACAACTTTACTTATATCCTTTTGCTACCCAATGTTTTAAATTCAGAGTTTAAAGTCTGAATTCAGAGTTAAAAGTCAGAATTCAGAGATTATAGTCTGAATTCAGAGTTAAAAGTCTGAATTCAGAGGTTAAAGTATGAATTCAGAAGTTAAAGTCTGAATTCAGAGATTATAGTCTCAATTCAGAGTTTAAAGCCTGAATTCAGAGTTTAAAGCCTGAATTCAGATAGGTTAAAGTCTGAATTCAGATATTATAGTCTGAATTCAGAGTTAAAAGTCTGGATTCAGAGTTAAAAGTCTGAATTCGGAGTTAAAAGTCTGAATCCCGAGTTAAAAGTCTGAATTCAGAGTTAAAAGTCTGAATTCAGAGTTAAAAGTCTGAATTCAGAGTTTATAGTATGAATTGAGAGTTAAAAGTCTTAATTCAGAGTTTATAGTATGAATTCAGAGTTTATAGTATAAATTCAGAGTTAAAAGTATGAGGTTAAAGCATAAATTCAGAGGTTAAAGCATGAATTCAGAGGTTAAAGCATGAATTCAGAGATTATAGTCTGAATCTACAAAAATTTTTAGACATGGCCCTTCTACGGCTTCGTATTATCTCACCTATAGCGTACTGATGAGAGTTAATAAGTTGAAAGGTCAGTTAAGAAGCTATTTCTTGATATTTCTATAAGATCCCCTTATTCTTCATTTCTTTATTCGAAATTTCTCGCGTTTTATTACCAAAATAGCAGTTTAGAATAACTACAATATATCCACAACTTAACAATGGAATAACATAAATGCAGTAAAGGAAATAATACTATTTTTAATATCTGAGATTTTGAATTACTTTAATTTAACATAAAAATATACCACAAAATACGGTATTCAAGTGTATGTTTTTATTCCAGTTACTATTTTGATTAATTTTAACGTTTTTTTTAAGTAATAATCTCAACGTTTTGTGAAGTAGTAAAATATTAATATTAGTTTTTTTAGTTTGAAAAAAATTGTTCTTGTTACCTAGACCTGACCAATGTTGATTTAGGTATCCCGTCCAAGTAATTCATGTGCAAAATTCATAACGCCATATTTACTAAACCTAATTGCTGTTTGCATTAACCTTTTATAGGCAACACGGTTTTAATTGGAAGTACCCTACGGTGACTTTTTATATTTCCACTTTAAATACCCACACCTCAAAGGTTGCTCTTACATTTCTAACTACTAATTTCTGCCTTTGCGGTCCATTCGTCAAATGTCAATATAAATATAATGATTATAATAAAGTATACTTCAACCTACGTCTACTTCATTGGTACCTAAGTAATAGAAACAACGAAATCTCATTATTGATAATTGTACTAATGAAAACGACTATCACAGATTAGAAAGAGTGAAATAAAGCAGTAGAATACGCCCACCGCCTAAAATTTTTTTATAATACCTCCATCTTTCGCCCACTTTGCTTGCTCTACTAAGTAGCTTCTTTAAAAGACAAAAGACACGCCGATACCTCTCAAACAGAGGCTCTTGCTAAATCTACCTAAAAATATATCCTCAGGGTGATTCCTGACAATGTTTTGATTAAATACAAACAGTAGTAATAAGATATATCTTGCAAAGCTGTCCATAATTGACAGGTGAAAATTTTTTGCAAATATCTACAGGGTGATTCTTAACCTACATGCATATGCTTGAGAAATGGCAATGATATAAAATAATGTTACAGCTTCATATCTTTCTAGTTTTGTTATGCAATTTTTACTTTCCGAATTCAAAAGTGAGGTTGTTTTGTGGCAGCCTCATTTGTCGGAAAATGATATAAACAATTGACAGTTTGAGCACGAATATGACATTTGAAGCAATTATATTAAACTTAACCTAACCCAACTTATTCAAAAACATATTCTATTATTAGTTCTAGTATTTCAACTTTTTTTTATCAAGGTATCAAGCTAATTCAAATAAATTCTTTTTTTTTTTTCATAAAAAGTCCGACTACACAGACAACATAGTCATCAATTAGTTTTCTAAGAATATAGTATCTACCTGATCAACAATCGTTATTTTTCAAATCAAAAAATTTTCAGTCAAATTAGCCTCATTTTTACCAAAATTTGTCTCAGATCGGAATAGGATAGGTTAGGTTAAGTTGGATTGTATTAGAATTAGATAAATAGATTTGGTAAATAGTGTAAAATAGATAATGATAGTCGTTTACTTACATAAGTTTTGCAATTTTTCAGAAAACAGTATTCAATTACGCATATCAAAATTACTTCAGATTCGTGTTCAGGAGGTCAAAATTATGGTGTAGGACATTTTGTTAGTGGAGACAATCAATGACGTTTGAAACGCAATTAAAAGGAAATATGAATTACAGTTTCTTCCTGCTGATCAAAAAAATTGCATAGATACTACATGAGTCATTATTAGTTACCGTGACGTCGTCCTCGCAGATTATTTTTAGGACTGAAATAAAAGTTGTGGAGCATAATTTCTCCAACGAATATCACAACAAAATTCAAAGGCTGCAGATCGCCTTTATTGACAAAGATTTTCCCAAAGATATCATTTGCAACTAAGGTCATAAGGGAAATCTGTTACACCTAATCGCATTTTGAATCTCTTGGAAGGAATTTTGTATATGATCGAGGAGCAACATAGCACAAGTACCAAGACAACTGTGACATAAATTTTATGATACAATTTTCACACGTAACGATATTTTCAATTACCAAAACACACGATTTATTCACAAAAAATAATACCTAAGTATTGTTTTGTTCCTCAAGCTTATGCGTGCTTATAAGTTAAGAATCATTTTGTATAGCTATAAACAAAACATTTGTAACAACAATATACATCAATGTCTGGAATCACTCTGTTCATGCAAATACAGAAAAGAAAACTAATTTCCAGAACTGCCATTAGCCATATAAATGTTTATATAAAACATATTAACGTGGTTAAAGTAATAATGTAGCGTAATAGCACTCGTATACGTAAACTATTTGAATACTTCAAACCACGTGGTCGCTTAAAAGCTAGCTTTCGCTCTATGTTTCCGTAAATAACTAAAAAAGGCAGTGAATAACAGACATATTAATCCATTTTATATATTCACCACCCAGATAGCAACAACTAGGTTACACTCCGAAAACATAAATTAATCGATTTCTTTTCTGCATTTGAATGATTTTTCTCAAATTTTATATTCGTCTGTCAGCATAAGATCGTTCCAAATTCCAAAAATCTCACTTATACGTCAAACTTATCTGTATGTATGATACGTAAAACAACTTAACAACATTCCTCCTTCAGAATACTTAACATTCTTGTAGTATTGCTCCTAACCTCGAATTAGAAGTGCCCCGATAACCACTTTACCCTTAAAGCACTTCAGAAAGTTAAAGCTCAAAAGAGTCATGCATTAGATACGCTTATCGATGATTAAAAATATTAAAGCGGGTCCGTTCAGTACTCGATGTTACCGATACCCATGGAAATATAAATAGCATAAACCAGTAACTACGACTTTGAAGTTTAATATTGATTAACTCTTTTTAAAATTCTGACTAAATACAACTTCGCACACGCAGGGACGTGACCAACGGCCAGATCAAAGCTAGATCAGAACCTCTCCAGAATTCTGTTGTTTTCATACTTGCACGGGGCTGTGGACTGTCTTTTTGTCCTTCTTTTTGCAGACGAAGGGCTCCGTGGTGCACTTGGGACCGTCCTCCGGGCTGTACGACCATCGCACCTTCTCCTTCACCGGCTTCTCGTCGGGCGTCTTGATTTTACGAGTTTTCACAAACTCGGTAACCTTTTGTCACTGAATCTCGCAGAACGGGAGCTTCTGGCTGTCTTTGGTCTCAGTGTCGGTGTTGCTCACGTCGTCGCCCTTTGGGCTCTCGGCATTGCTCGTGCCTCCCTGGTTCCCACTGCAAGAAATCACGAGAAATTTACGATAGAGGACAGAAAAAAAAATTACGGAAAATCGTGAAAAGGGCACTAAACGCTTAGCGGCATCTACTGCGGATTTACACGGTTTCCTAGCTATTCGAGGATCTATTTTGGGGTCGTTTCTTTTTTTTAACATGTCTGTGAAAATATTTAACTTGTATTTCGTCATTTTATGCAAAATTTGGACAAAGAATACCCAACAGTCACAATCAGAATGATAATTCAATTAGCACCTTAAATCTTTCTCGAAGACTTGACGCCATGTTTTTGATATACAGGGTGTTTCTAAAATAGGGTTCCAAACTTCTGCTGCGTTTATAACTCATTAAAATAAGCCAAAAAGTTCCTATTAACATGTGCCCTAAAACGCACCCTTAGGAAGTTATATGCCCTTAAAAGGGCTCAAACAAAACTGTTTTTTTTCTGTTATTAACAAAACGGTCGCAAATAAATAGAAAAAAAT